TCGGGTTAGACTTGAGTAGACTTGAGTAGTGAGTTAGTGAATAAGTAATCAATTCAAGTATAACACTAAAATACTTATACTTATTGCACTTACCTTTGTCATTCCGTTGCCTACTACGAATATTTGTCGCTTAGCCGACATGATTACTTGTTTGGCGAAATGAATAACTTGATACAACGAAATAACAACAACTTTTATTTTGCAGACATGCTCTATGATGACCATAGATCGCGAAGAGCACCATCTGGCGGCTCGACGATGAAATAAATAATGCATGCTTGTGCTGTTGCGTTAGACTGGTACTCGCTCCCACTTCGATTACTCGATGGGTGGATGGATTACTCGATGGATTACTCGATCCTAAGCCGATAGGTGGGACCGGGTACCAGTCTAGTGTTGCGTGCGTTGCGTGCGCTGACCACTGGCGCTGACTGCGCTGAGAGCTCACGCTGAGCTCGCGGTGAGTAAACAAACCAGTCGTGTAAAAAACAAGCATACCGTTGACAAGACCGTGTTAGCAACTTGCCAGAAGACATATATAATATATATCTTAATACTCGAAGTCGGAATCGTCTATCGGTATGTTGTCGGGAAAATACGAATATGTGGTTGTTGGAGCAGGCATCGAAGGCTCTGCCACTGCATATCAACTGGCCAAGAAAGGTGCAAAAGTTTTGCTTTTGGAACAGGTACTAAAAACATCTCAATTATCCACTATTTCCAAGGTCAATAATACAATATGGCCGGGCAGTGTCCTCCTATCAGACTTGTTAATCTCAAAAGCTAGGCTACACTGATGTAGCTCAGTAATGGAGCTCACTGATGCTAGTTATGTAGTAGACCAATAAATTGTGCCCTAAAATTTTTTATATTCTGATGTTATTTTACTTTTAGGGCCCAATAGCCTTCCATAGACAAAACCTGTGAATTCTGTCGTGCAAAATGCACGACAACCTTTTCACTATTTACGGCCGTGTTACATAGAAAATTAAAGAAATACCTAAAGTCGTCGCTTTATTAACATCTTACGTACATTACAAAACACTTGTCATGCAGTATTCTCCTCTTTAATCACGTTTATTTTATTAAAACATCACAACATAAAAATCTCGCAAACTTCGCTACACACAAAACTGCCAATCTTGCATTGAACCGCACAACGACATTTCTCACCGGCCAATGAAATCATCGCCGTGACGCTGTCCGGTTCGGTTCAATGCAAGATTAGCAGTTTTGTGCGTAGCAAAGTTTACGTGATTTTTATGTTGTGGAGTTTTAATAAAATAAACGTGATTAAAAAGGAGAATACTGCAATTGCATGACAATTAAGTCTTTCGTAATGTAGGTAAGATGTTAATAAAGCGACGGCTTTAGGTATTTCTTTGATTTTCTATGTAACACGGCCGTAAATGGTGAAAAGGTTGTCGTGCATTTTACACAACATAATTCACAGGTTTTGTCTATGGAAGGCTATTGGGTCCTAAAATAACATCAGAATATAATTTTTTAGGGCACAATTTATTGGTCTAGTTATGTAGTACAATGTATGTGGTTGTTGGAGCAGGCATCGAAGGCTCTGCCACTGCATATCAACTGGCCAAGAAAGGTGCAAAAGTTTTGCTCTTGGAACAGGTACTTAACTCAATTCAATTCAATTCAAAAAATTTATTTATCACCACAATTAGCAAAGATACAATGATACAGAAAACATTAAATTGAAGGGTGAAGGGGTAGCGAAAGACCATAGGGTCATCGAGTCAGCTATCCCTTTATATGTACAGTAGACATAATATTGAGCACTATAGATATTCGTTGTATTGCAAATTAGGAAAAGTTGAAATAAATTTGCAAATAGAAGTAGTGGTGCAGTATATACAGTAATAACAAACAAGAACAGTAATCAGTTTACAGTAATGTAGGCTACAATAAATAATTTTGTACAGAAGAAGATATATGAGTTTGATAAATTAAGTTGAGATTAAGATGATTCACATCTTGGGTACAGTATATACAGTTATACTTTACAGTATATACAGTATATACAGTTATACAGTATATACAGTATATACAGTTATACAGTTATATTATACAGAACAGGCATCAAAAAACTATACTAATTCAAAAGAAACATTTATACAAGCCGTAATAATAATATTTAATAAGTACATTCCGCAAGAAATTAAGCTGGTTATTACCTGATACTCACTAAATAATCAGGAGATTTTTTAGTATTTATGAGTCCATGCAAATGCAATAAAAAATAAATAATATATATCAGTAATATAACTGGAATTGATACTGTCAAACAAAAAAGAGAGATCAATACGTTAGTTATATATACGTTAGCTCGAGTGTTACATCATAAGGTAAGTCACAGAAATGACAAATTTTGATTTTCGGAACTTCATAGAAATAGAAATAAACAGGTTTGATACATATAATATATATACAAAAATAATAATACATATATATATATATATAGTTAATATTACAGTATGAATTCGTGGTAGCTATATATATATATGCAAGTAGGGCACGAATGAATCCTACAATATACAGGAGAACACTACAGCTCTGCGGAGCCCAGTTCAAGGATTCAAGGAATCTGTTCAGTGCAAGATATATTTGTTACAAGGTTTACAATTGGTTACAAGGTGTGTTTGGTTTGGGTATATATGCTAAATAATAATGTATGTTTATGGACAAGAATATTTTGACAGTAGGATGTGTTTATATTTATATTTTAGTTGTTTCAGAGAGCAGCTGGTGAATTCCAGAGTAAGTTCATTCCATAACTTCGCTTCTTTGAATTTGATTGTGTTCGAGCCATAAGCTGTCATGACTCTGTCTATAAAATAGTTTTGTCCTGCCGCGCTTCTTGTGTTATGGTCATGGACGTCTGATAGTTTGGTAAAGTAGGTGCTAAATAGTACCGGTAGCATGCCATGTGTATATTTGTACATGAACAATATAAGTTCGTACTTGTGTAGGTTCGATAGTTTCAATAATTTAAGGGAGGCGAATGAAGGGGTTGCGTGATCAATAAAGTTGGCAAATGTGATGAGTTTCGCTACCGTGTTATGAGTGGTATTTAATGGTTTAAGTGTAGTGATATTAGCATTGCCCCCTGTTAGAATTCCGTATTGTAGGTAAGGGTAGATTAGTGCATAGTATAGAAATTTTAACGTCAAGGTGTCTACATAGTGTCTGATTTTTGAAAGATGACTTTATATGTGATATGTTTAATATGGGTATCTCATGTAAGTTGGTTATCCAGGTAAAGACCCAGATATTTTATACTGTTTTCTTGTTTGATTTTATGCGAGTCCATACTAAGTTTAAAGTTTTGTATTGCCTGTTTCAGTGATTTGTTGCATATGATCATATATTTTGTTCTTTTGTAGTTAACTGATAGTCTGTTTGACTTTAACCATGCATCTACTTTAGCTATCTCTTGGTTAACCATTGTTTGAAGGTGGTGAGGGCTTGAATGTGATAGAAATAGGTTAGTATCATCAGCAAATAGTCGGCTATTGAAATTAGAGCAAACGGGTAGATCATTGATATAGATTAGGAATAATAGCAGGCCAAGTGTTGACCCTTGAGGCACGCCACATTTGAAATCAAGTACAGAAGATAAGTGTTCATCGATTGATGTACAGTGTTTTCTGTTGGTTAAAAACGAGGCGAAAGTTTTCAGGGCAATAGTATTCCAGTATTTTTTAACGTATTTTGTGTTGCACCGTGTCAAACGCCTTTGATAAGTCTAGGAATATACCACATGTGTATAACTTTCTATCAAGTGAGGACAGTATGCTATCAGCTATTTCAGCTGTTCCTAGGGTAGTGGAGTGACCTTTCCTGAAGCCGAATTGGTATTTGTTTAGTATATTATTTTTATTAAGGAATTTTATTAGCATAGTGTAGATTATTTTCTCAAATATTTTAGCTACGGGTGATAAAAGAGATATTGGCCTGTAGTTAGATGGATCTTCTGGTAAGTTATCTTTATAGATTGCTCTTATTTTGGCCAATTTAAGACAGTCAGGCAATACTCTGTCTGATACACAGAACTTTGTTGAATATTTGAGCGAGAACTGGGGCTATTGTCGACTTAGCAAATTTGTAGAATTTGATGGGAATATTTTCGGGACCTGGTGATTTATTGGAGTTTAACTGATCGATTAGTGCACTGACTTCTCTTGTATCATGCAGTGGGATTGATAAAAAATGAATTCTGTACTGGTGTGTGCAGGTATGTCATGAAGTTATTTATTGGTTGAGGTATGTTTTTTTACATGTTTATGCCTATATTTGAGAAGTAATTATTAAAGTTTCCTTTCTTGTTATAGGACGTGGGAGAGTACTTTTTTGTAAGTGTGAAGATCGGGAGGTGGTCAGATACTTGGTATAAGACAATTCCTGAAATTATTTTATTGAAGTAGTCATTAGTGTATGCATGATCAATAAGGGTATAACTCGTGTCAGTGATACGTGTTGGTCGAGTTATTAATATTATTGGAGTAAATTGTAGATCAAAAAGCGTGTTAAGATATTCATTAATGCTCGCTTTTTAGCTCATCTGACATAGTCAGATGCAGCTTGTAGAATCGCATGATCGTCCGTCCGTGCGTCCGGTCGTCCGTCCGTCCGTCCGTCAACAGTTGGGCACAAATCTTAACCGCTCGACGTACGGTCACGATATTCGGGTCGTTGGGGGTGATCGTCAAAACGAGTTGGGATGTCGAAGCTGGGGGTCAAAGGTCAAAGGTCAAGAGGTGTAAAGGAAGGGGGAACATTCACTCCTTAACTTAAGGTATAGGGAGGAAATGCAGAATTGCGGCACAAATCTAAACCGCTCGACCTAGGCTTGTGATAGTCGGTGTATAGCATCATGGTAGGAAAAGCCATCACTGTGCCGAAATGGGATGGAGGGTCAGCAGGTCAAGGTCAATGGGCACAGCGGCAGATTTTAGACATTTTCTGACTGAGGACATGGTCTGACGGAGCGATTGAAAAACTTTTTTGTTTCAGCGCTGACCTAGGCATTTTTATGGCTTTATTGAAAGGACCATGAAATGTCCCTTCTGCTGACATGCGAAGAGTAAGTGTCGGATAACCTTTTGACCTCAAGAGGAGGGTTAAACATGGATTTGTTGACTGTTAACAAAGAGTGAACTGCTTTTGCTATTAGAGCCCCCTCCCCACCCTCCCCTTTCCCCCTCCCCACCCCCTCCCCTGCCCCTTCCCCCACCCTCCCCCACCCCCTCCCCCACCCTCCCCTACCCTCCATCTGCGATAGTGGGCGTGTCCTAACAATGATGTGTACGCAACTGCGTGTCTGCATATCTGCGCCTAACAAATGTGGTACTACGCACGGACTGAAATTTTACGTTTATAATCGTAGCAACAGACCTCAGATGAGCCCAGACGCTCTGCGGCTCTTGTTCTTCATGTTGTATAAGATTAATGTTAATGTCACCATAGATGTATGCCGTTTGTCCAGCTTTGTGCAGTTTTGATAGTACTTTGTGAAGTTGCTCCGTAAAATGGTCAACTTTTGAGTTGGGGTGTCTATAGATTACACCTATCACTATATTTTTCGACTTTGATTTAGATGATGTGCTAAGTTCAATCCATAGATTTTCAGCTTGGAAGTTGACATTATTCACTTTTAAGTCGTGGCGTT